TAGGATGTAATTTTCTTGAATTCCTTAGATGTTTAAAGGTAAGAATTTATATTTTACCTTGTAATTAATATGCTTGCTGTACGTTGCATGAAACGTTGTTATATTTGTACAAGTTTTCTGAGAAAAGTGTATCGTGTGCTTATTCCCATTGATTCATTTTCCGTTAGGTGACCGCCATGATCGGGAATGTGTGAATGACTAATAGCGGTATCTTGGAATATTCCGAGTATAATGCAAGGGTGGGACGTTTTAATTTATTATATACATACTCGTAATATTTTGCTACCGACGTGAACCATGAATGTGATCCGCGGACGCCAATCACAAAGTTTACTGGGCGATTAAAAGTGTTAGGACCAGGTGGGTGCTGCTCAAGTATTTGTGAAAGTTCGTGCATGCAAACTTTAAATGTAGGTTCTCATAGATGCATTGCAAAAGTCACGGATGATTATTCAGAATGCTCAATTTACAACTGAGCAAATGTGTGATAATCGATGTTTAAAAACATCGATATCATTGGAGTTGTCAGTGCTGAAGTTGTCATTCGTGTGTTTGAGGATTGGAAGAAGTTTTGAATATTTATTGGTCTCTAAGATAATATGATTTGATCGTATTGAGTCATAAGAAGTGCCTGCTTTTACAAATATAATAACAAAGGACATACATAACCTGAAGAGTCATTTGATGTCACATTTGTTATCTTTGAACATGTGTCAGTTGATTGGATTGTAGATTTGTGGATTCTTCGAATATGGATTTGACTTGTTTTCAACGAATAGGTATGTTCTCATGTATATTTCAAGTTGTCTTTGGAAAAATGTCATCTTACAAGTAATATAATTTTATATCACTAAAATTAATTTAGGAACAGCTCTTGACATGGTTCAAATATCAGTTTTTTTTTATTTTTATGCAGGGTTTGAGAAAGAGAGCCATGTTATAATCACTAATGTCCATGTTACAGATTGAATTATATATTGTGTTAGTGGTCAGGAACCTTTTTGATTTGAGGTTGTAAAGTTGTGGAATATTTGGATTATGATCTTGTAGATGGTTATGAACATTTTGGAGCAAGAAATTACCACTGTTTTCCTCCAAAATGTTGTTCTTAACAATCTGCAAATATGAGGTCTTAGGTTCAAATCTTGGCTCACAGACCTGACAGAGATTTTTCATGGTTTTTTGTAGTCTCTGCAGATAAATGGCAGGATAGAACTTTTAATTAGGCCACAGCATCTTTATTAATAATTCTATAATTTTAAGCTATATAATTTGATGTAATATTATGATGGCATTCTTTTATGCAGCAAGTGGTACAAAGTGACAAAATATGTTGAGCTTTGCAGCGTGACAGAAATATAAAGGTGCTTGTTGATCTATAAACGAAATTCCCATGATACCATACATTTCACTTGTGAGATTCAATCTATATTTACGTGTTTTTGCTCATGGCCTCTGTAAGCGTTAAGAATTGCACAGAAGGGATTCTTGTGACATCATGAGGTGCAGATATTTGTTATGCGCAACTGTCATTACGTTCAAGGTTCCTGGAGCAGAACATGTAAGTTGTGACTTGACTGTGCTCCTATCATATTTAATGTGTCACTGTGGCATTTTTGTTTTCCTTGTGGGTTATGACTCAAAATCTGTAAATGCGATTTTTTTCTCGATCCTTTCAACATGTTATCACTATTTCTGCAATCTGAAATTCTGTCTTCTTTATTATCTGGTATCTTAACTCATCTTTAATTACAAGTACTTATTTCTGATATGTGTAGAGAAACAGGTTTTGCTATTGTCTTACACAGTTTTAATTTGGGTAGTGTGAGAAGTTTTATGAATTTTGATTTATGTGTTCTCCATAGACGTGGTTTTTAAATATGCTGTTTGATATTCTAAGTCATTCAAATCATAAAGTTTTTAAATTATTTCGCTATTTATATTAATGCATTTTTGTGAAAGGTAGTATGACAAAACATACGTGTTCTCTGGTTTCAGTGCTTATAAGTTTGGCTATGCTGTAACCTGAATTTTATATCGTCCTGTATTTTGTGGCTCATTTGTTTGCTTAAGATAAGCTGTGTTATAAATTAGTGTACCTATCACGTTGTTGTCAGGCCTACTTTTTTTAAATCAAGACAGAGTAGATACAAGTGTGGGACTGCATGCTAACAAAATGTTTTTCAAATTTTTTCTGAAGAAAATCAGGTAGTCTGCAAGTCTGTTGGAAGATGATGACAAGAAGGGAAACCAATGAGAATTTTGCTGTGCATATTCCTGACGACAATATAATGATATATTGCAATGTAGAGGTTAGCACTATGTGGGAGGACCCGTGTTCAAATCTTGGTGTATACCGTCTATATGGCGATTTTTGTTTCCCAAGGCTCCTCCAGGCAGATGGCAGGACAGTACCTTAAATTTTATCATGTTCATTATTCATAAACCATCGTGTCATTTGACGCTGTATAGCCCACAAAAGCGTTGTTAAATAATAAGTATGCGGCCCGTTCTTCTGTGAACAGCCGTTTCTTGATGTAAATTTGACTGGGAAGATGTGGTGTTGATAGGAAATTGTCGGCCGGACGGAAATGAAGGCGTTGCTTGTTTCTGACGGGATTGTATTTATAGTGGTGCCACAAAGATTTACGAAATACCGCGGGCACTGGCTGTCGCCACCGAGTTACGTGTAGTTACATCGCTGCGTTCAAGCACGTGTTACATTATGTAGACCGCACCGGCGACATCGAATGGTACGACAGAAACGTTTTTACTACAGATCTTTTATCTGAACTTCGTGAGCATCCGATCGTAACATACATTTTGCTGCCCAAAGCTAATACTACGTTTATTCCCCTGTATATTTAACTAAATAAAATAAAGAGACAACGCCCACTCTCATCGGGAAGTGGGCGTTTGAACATACAATTCAGAACGGAATCAGCGGACTTTTCCTTAAGAAGAAAATAGTTACTCAGCTGCAAAATAAATTACTTGACTTTATGAAACCCAAAGGTTCATTACCGTGTTAACAAGAGCCCTAGCCTGAGTAAGATAATCCAGTCAAAGCCTCTAAACCATATTTCCCTACGATACATTTTAATATTATCCTCACACCTACGCCTAGATCTTCTGAACTGTCTCCTTCCTCCAGGCCTTCCGACATTGTACAGACTTTGTCTACGAAGTGTCAGAAGAGGTAACCATTTTTATTTTGTGAAAAGTCTTTTAATCGAACCGTTATGATTGTACAGTGTAATGAAAGGACGTGTTCTGTATTTCAACATCATCGCCTTGCCTGTTGAGGCATTTGTCCTATTGTTCAGTGCGATTATCCACGCCATTGCAGGAAAAAAAAATCTCGGATCAGTCTCGTTTTGAAATATAATAAGCGCTGAACGCCACTCAGAAATCGCTGAAGTCAGCAGTCCGTCGGAAAACGTCCAGGACACTGACACAGGATGTGACTGTGTACTGCTCGCGTTGCTGTACGCTCGTCAGTGTTAGGGGCAGCCACCCTGCAGCTCTGACCTCCCTTTTTCTGGGCCAACCTCAAATCTGGTCTAAATAACTTTTAAGAATTTAGTGCTTATCGCAAAGATCAGGTGGTAAATGCTGTTTTTTTTTTGGGGGGGGGGTTATACCCGCGGTGTGTTATGAGAATCGTACGAAACACACGAAGGGCTCTGAACAGAATATAGAGTTATGAGTGTTAAAGCTGATGGTATATACCACTGACTTTAAAGCGTTCAGGCAGTATATATATGTTGAAAATTGTACGTGTATGTGGCTTGATCGTTTGTTATATAATTACGATTCGATCAAAAATCTTCTCAAAAATTCGGGAGGGGGGGGGGGTTTACGGTAAGAAACGATAATGTTTTTCTTATATAGAAAGTTTTAAATATTGAAGCGGAAGATTTTTATTATTCTTTATTGTTGTTACCGCGTTGTGTAGTTTACATTTGTTGGACATTATTATACGTCCGTTTTCAAATCGTTCTGAGGACTGGCTAAGATTTCGGGCAGGTCAGGTTACATGTGACTGCCGTACCAAGAAGAGTTAACTGAGAAAGACCAGCCATTGTCGCCTCCTCTTTAATCCGACCCAGTTCACTTGACAGTCATCCTCACTTCCCATTGGTTGTCGCCGATAGTTCACAAATCTGCGTGCGATGAAGGGGTCTGCTCGAATCTCGATTTAATGAACTACCTGCAGAAGTTTGTATAGACTGCACGCAATGCACTCGAGTAAGAGAAGTTGCTGCACGATCGCGGCGAATCTTTGTATTCATTTGCAATTCCTTGACCTTTTAAAGCTCAGCACGTAATTATTCGTATAGACTTCAGAAGTTTGACTCCTTTTCATGGATTTATAAGCCTTGATTCGTAAAATTATAAGTTTACCTGTTGTTTTGTGTGGGCGTGGCACTTCATTTTACCGTAAGGGAGTTGAGGGGGATTTTTGACCTAAGAGGGAGGAAATGGTGGGAGACTGGAGATATTTACTTAATGACGAGCTCCATAATATGTACTGTAGATATTAAAATAATCGAACCAAGTAGAATAAGGTGGGCGTGGCATATTTTGCTCATTGAAGGGATGAGAAATGCACACGAAGCTTTGGTCGGAAAGCCTGAAGGGAGGGCAATCGTAGATGAGAGGATAATATTAAAATTGATCATATAGAAATAGTGTGAGAATGTTAACTGGATTGATGTGGCGTAGTGTGAGTATAGTAATGAACCTTGGGGTTAAAAATTTGAGAATTTATTGACGAGCCAAACGACTTTTAGATTGTTAAGGTAGACTGTTTCATGGCGATATTTCTGTGTTCGTAGTTACGTCGGAGATTTTGTGGAAGAGTGAACAGGGATTATGCTCCAAGTAATGTTCGATAACACTTCCAAGCCCTGTGATAACCATATGCACCGTGTTCTTTAAGAATCGATAAAACACTTCATTTTATATCTGTGTTTCGTGTGGTTTTTATAGTAATCAGCGATTATTTTCTTAATCAGCGTTAACCAGTTGATATTCGTAATGGTGAGGCGCTGTGTTTTCTTCGCGGTACGGACTGAATCTTAAATATTATTTAAACGAGCTTCGGCTTCAGGGGTTAACCAGTTGATCTTTGTAATGGTGAAGTGTGGTGTTTTCTTCGCGGTACGGACTGAATGGAATCCGCTGATCTTTAGGGGAAATGCGCGTGATGCATTAGTCATATTAAGCATTTGCTGTCGATAATTCTGCCGGAGAGCTCATTTGTTTGTTCTAGTGCCACGTAAAATCCGACCGTTCAACTCTCTGATTATGTTACACGGTCTTTTATGCTGACAGGAGGTTTCCTTCTGTCACGATTGTCTTGGTTTGCAAGAGGCGGCGCGCCTTTCGACAAGCAGACTGAAGGGGAACGAGGTCAGCTGTCCTAATCGAGTAACTCGTATAGATTTATTTTGTGGGGTGTTCAGAAATTTTTATTTTGGAGTTTGATTCTCGACGTAGACTGTTCTTTGTAGAATTTACGTGGAAGATTTTGTGTGTGTGTGTAGGAAGGTAAAATCTTGATTCGCATTATCTGAGTGTGACGTATGCAATTGGCAGATAAATGCGAGTCTGTCTGTCTGTCTGTCTGCCCGTGACGAGAGAGAAGAAACGTGTCTGATACGATGGAAAGTATGTGATGAAGTTCGTATGTTACATACGAGTTTCGTAAAATTTTTGCGGAATCTTGACACATGCTCGCGTGATGGATGAGAGGAGATGGTCCGGCTGGTGC